AGGTGACTGCTGCTCGCTAAGAAGAAGACAGCACTGCATCAAAGATTAAAATCAGTGATCCGTATTGTTTGCTCAAGAGTTCGTACATTGGTGCCTGCGAGAGTGAGAGAATAAAGATCGGCCCCGCCAACGCTTTCGGGCAGATTCCCGCTAACGCCTTCGGACATCACGCATTCGAGCAGCTTCTCGCAATCACTTTCGGGCAGTATTCCGCCGTAGCTTACTAGCATCACCGCTTGAAGCCGTACAACTTTGCTATTGGACATTTTTCCAAAATGCATTCTTACTGAAAATATTAGGGGAATCCAACACTTTTCGATTAATGTATTTTCTTTAAACCAATTAATTGGTCTCATTATTTCGCGCACAAAAGTATTAAGGTTTTGATTACTGAAAACTAAATAATATTTTATAAGATATTTTACATTTTGTGTCAAAAAATTGTTAACTTCAAACCTTTATAATTCAAAAAGTACTTAATGAAAAAATGTTTTATTCTAGCGTTTTGGAAAGCTCTCGAGATAAGCTATAAGAATATGCAATAAAATGTAGGGGGTTTTATTAAAAAAAATAAGGTTGACCTTGAAATGACCTTGAAGGACATGGTCAAGGTCAAAGTCAAGGTCATCATCTTACTCCTCGCTTGAAACCATACAACTTTGCTATTGGATATTTTCTCCAAAATACATTCTAACTCAAGATATTAGGGGATATCCGATACTTTTCGATGACCCTGTATATAGCTAGCTCAAGATGCAGCGCTTTCTTCTAGGATATACGTGAACTAAAACTCAAGTCTTCTTTACTACGTAACCATTAAACTCTAGCACACATATTGTTTATTATTGGAATTCTCTTTTTATTTAAATTATCTATTAAAATTCACTTACGATGTTTTCATAATGTTCCTGAAAGTCTTCTCTATGCCACATACTATGTATTTGAAGCGTATGAGCTCTAAATTTGTCACGTGAAACTAAATATGACACCTGCATCGCATTTTCAATAGTAAATACAAAATTTTTTGTTGATTTCGATGCAACTTTTTAGTATGCGGCATTCATTATCGCTTATACTTTCACGCTGTAAAAGCATTTGCAGTTTTATGCATGCAATTAGAAGAAAAGAGTATTCTACGAAAACGAGCCTAGCAGCATCGCTTTAAAGCTACTATTTTTATTCGTTAGCTATCTAATACAATAGATGGAGAAAAGTATTAGGAAATGATGGTGAATATTTTGAACATTGATATGTTTATTATTTTTTGAAAATCACATTTATAAAAAAACACCGAATTAATTTGCGCACCTGATGAAAAATTTTTCATGCAAAATTTTGTATGAAATTTGTCTATACATAATTATGTATAATTATATATAATCATATGAAATTGTATATAATTATACACAATTATGTATAACAATATGTATAATTACATATAAATTTATGCGTAATTATGTAAAATTATATATGAATTTATATATATAATTATACATAATTATATATAATTATATATAATTATATATATATATATATATATATATATATATATATATATATATATATATATATATA